GATTACAAGGATCTACATATAACCTCCTACCTGGGGGATGGACAACAGAAGAGTGGGTGAAGGGAGATGTCGGTTGAAGTGGGTGTAAGGTATGACAAAATAATAATAATTTATAAATTAGCAAGTGTTCATGAGGGAGTAGGGAGCGGGAAGGGAAAGGAAAAAAATGAGCTGATATCAAGGGCTCAAGTAGAAAGCAAATGTTTTGAGAATGATGATGACAACAAATGTACAAATGTGCTTGACCTAATGGATGAATGTATGGATTGTGATAAGAGATGTACGAGCCCCCAAGAAAATGATTAAATAAAAAAAATCTCCAAATAATATAAAAATTATAGGACCACTGGAAATTTTTAAAAATGATATGCCTCACACCATATATTCCAAACAGAACAAAGATGAATAATACATATAGAAAATTTTCCAAGAAAACATAGCTGAATCTTTTAAAATCATGAATAATGGTATTTCTAGATCTAAAAGAAAATCTAAAAGCCCAAATGAGAAAATATCTGTAACTCAAATCACGAAGTGTTAACGTGTTTTACATAGAAGTCTTCCCGGATAACCAGAGGGAACAACCTAGTGTCTTTTTGAGTAAAATAAGCAAAGTTCAAACACTCATGAGGAAAAAAGAAAGAAAATCATGTCAAAACCCACAATTTCATTCATAATATGGAAAATGCAAAGGTTGTAAAAGATATACATCTCTTTTGGATTGAGTGAGTAAAAGACTTGCAATTTTCTCCTTACTTCCATTTTGTTTTAATGTTTACAGTGAACATACTTCAAAAAGTTCATGGGAAATAGAATAAAATGATAGTGGATTTTTTCCAATAACTTTTGAATCCCCCCTCATAGGTTACAATTGCAATTAAGTACTTAGTAGAAAAAGCAATAATTTCTTTTAAATTTCTTTCACTAAAATGGGATCAATCATAAATTGTTATATAAATACTGTTTTATGATCTATTTAACTTAAATATGCTGCCAAACACCTATAAAATTACCTGAATTATCTTGAAATCCTGACCCGAGTTTAATTTTTGAATGTATTATTTTGTAAGGTATCCTGTGAGGTCTGGTGGTGCAGCTGGCTGCACAGAGAGCTGCTATCCGTGGGATTGGTGAGCTGCACCCTCCATCTGCCACACAGGAGACAGACGAGGCTGGCTGTTCTGCCAAGATGCAAAGTCTTGGGAACCCAGAAGGGCAATTCTACAGGTCCCTATAGGGTTACTGTGAATGGGAATTAACTGGATGACAATGAGTCTGGCTTTCAGATAGATCATTAAATGATTTCTTTTTCATTATGTTAGACATTCTACTATAACCATATCGACTTATCTTTTTCCTTTTAAAAATAAACTTCTGGAAGTAGATCGCTACATCAAAGGGCATATATGTTTTACGTTTTTTTAAAATTTAAATCATTTTATTGGGAGCTCGTACAATTCTTATTACAATCCATACATACATGTATTGTGTCAAGCACATTTGTACATTTGTTGCCTTAGGTTTTTATACATATTGTAAAACTTCCCAAATTCATAGGACCACTAACTATATGGCTCTATCAGAGGGCTCACATGTCCATACCTGTACTATCACGGGGCTATCAGTCCTTTAACTCCTTCCCAATTTGATGTGAGAAACATTTTTACCTCAACGTTTTGTACATTATTTTTTAAATAATGGAAGTCTGAACAAATTTATTATTGGATACACACTATGATTCCATGATACTTATCATGTAGACATAGAATTATTAAAATGGAAAAATGCCAATAATACTAGTAAAAACATATTCCATTAAACGCATCATTTGTTGTCAAATTCCCTTGGTAAAAAAACTTAAATTATTTAGAGAATATTTTATTATTAAGTTATTTAAAGATATTCATATATTAGTTCTAGTTATATATGTAATATATACATTTTCAAGTAGTGATCTGTTCTCGACAAACCCTTGTGTGAGTGTGTGATGTAATCGTATAAATATTCCTTATTTCCTTTTTGCTTCCCTTCATTTCTCTCCCCATCTGTGACTTTCCTTTATCTTTCTTTCTTCTAATCAACAATTATCAAAACGCTTTCTGAATACGTTTACTTAACTGCAATGGTGATGCTTATGTAGACTAAATTATCACACACACACAGGCATGTGTTTATACTGTGTTTTGTTCCACCAATCTAGAAGATCGACCACACTTCCCAGACACATTGGTTTCTTGTAGAGAAAATGATCAAATGCCATTTCATATGTGCGTAACAAAATTTACATAATAACTTCAGTTCCTCCTAAATTTACATAATAACTTCAGTTCCTATATTCTGAATTATTGGAAGGAATCAATGTGAGGATTAGCTAATATGAGAGGAGTTAAAAACTCTGGAAAAACAGAATGAAAGGAATTTTTTCATGAACTTTTTGTAGCCCACTTATATAACCTTGTAAGTTTTGACCATATTTACAGGACCAACGTAGTAATGAGTAAGGACCAAAAGGGCGAGAGCGCGCAATGGGAAACTAGCGGAATTAGGAGAAAATCAGTAATATTAAAAAAACCCAGCAGATACATGTTAAAGGGTTATATAGGACACTGAAATGTCATGGGAGCCACACAATTTAAAATCTAAAGACAGACGCAAACTAATGATAAATGGACATCACGGTCCAGATCTTGCTGGAGGAGGAGAAGCAGACAGAGAAGTCTGCATTATGAACGAAATCAAGTTAGGAAACAGGAGGTGATCCTTTAAATAAGCTTGGTCAGGCTTTTAGAGTAGCCCTCAGATATTGCTTGAATTTTCACAAGTCAGTGTCATGGTAAAGACAAGGATTTCTTTTATTTGACTCTTCACCTCCCTTTGGTCAGGGCTAATGCTCTTTGACTCTCTATGCAGTGGTCTGAATTGAAACCACGTCCCTGGAGGAGATTACTACTTAGCCCCATTTTTTAATGTGTGCGCTCAGTCTGTATAAACATGACGTTGTAAATCACGCCAGAGGGCTTCTTAAAGAAACACGGACCCAAGCATTTGGAGATTTCGTTACAAAACGAGTCTTGCGATCTGTGTTAACCTCAACAGATGGCGCTGTTGACAGGCACGGAAGGGGATAACTCACTTGCTTTCTTCTTGTGTTCAATAAGCTCTAAGAGCTGCCGGATCTCGGTGTCATACTCCGCCCACTCTGGGATAATTCTGGCCGCAGCTTTCAGTTTAGGCTCCTTTGTTTTGGGGTTATTGCACTAGAAATTTAAAAAGAGCATTTTAAATTAAAAAATGCCATGTTCCAGGAAACAGAAAGAAAATATTTGTTTAGATTTCTGTGTCACCAGAGTTAACAAAATACATTTATGAAAAGCGGAGACCTCGTAAATAACGGAATTACTGAAATTAGTTTAAAGGATACGATCAAGTGAAACGACACATCACAGCCAATCTAAGCAATAATTCCTTAACACAAATACCTCAATCGAAAACGTACACAAAACACTATTGAAAGACATTGTGGTCGTTCATAAGCAGTTTGACGATTGTGGAAAACGGTTTTGGCATCGATCCATTACATCACTATCCTATGAAACACAGTAGATTGCATTAGTACATCCTTGGTTGTCTTTTCTATGCACTATTTGGTTCTGTTTTCCACAGATTTTTTTTTCAATCCTTAGAAATAGCTTCAGTTGTCCTTCTCACATAGCTCTGTTCAAATTGGAAACTGTGATGACATTAAAAATCAGCAAACCGGAACTCATCTGACAATATAGGGATAGTTTTCATATTCATAACAGTCCTTCGATCTACATGCCTTAAAAATACTTGAGGTTCTGGCGGCCGGAGCAGATCTAATTCCCTGACCATCCTCAGATGCACACCAAGAATAAGAATGAGGAAAACAATCGACTTCGCCCTTAGGACTCTAAAGTGAACGTCAGGGGGCAGTGGCAAGAAGCAGGTACCGTTCAGCTCGTCAACAAGGGCTCCCTTAGTAGGAGAGGTGCTTCTTCCATTACTCTTTACGCCTCCTTTTGTCCTGATAGACAGAGAGCTAGTACACAGCACAGCCTGTCTGAGCAGGATGAAGGCCCTGAAACAGTGAGCTCCCATTGAATAGGGGAGGGAGTTGTGAACTAGGTAGGACTGCAAGTTACACCTGCCAGAAGGTGCTTAATTTAGTATGCTTCTCTGTCCAGTCTGGGAGTTGCTGAAGGACAGAAAGCCTGGTCTGGATGGAAACACAGCTCTCAGAGTGTGGGGCGAGGAGAGTCCCCCACAAATCATCGCAGGTCCGGTAGGCGCAATTGTACAGCGATAATAAGTAAGGACTATAGTAAAGTCATAGAGAGCATGAGAGTTAGAGGAGAGACTGGAATAATGGAGTCAGACACAATTCATGGTAGCATGCTCACCTCAGCCCCGTTTGGTGGTCCTCGTTGGGGGAGCCCGGCCGCGAGAGCAGGAGAGCCCCCTCTTTATTGCTAACCAAGGGTTATATCTCCTTCAGGGGGGCATGATTACAGGTAACCACACGTCACAGGAAGGGGCAGTACAATAGGCATACACATTGTAGGAAGGGGATGTATGATAGGCATAAGCATAACAGGTAGGGGACGAGCTAGGGGTGTGCCCATAGGAATGGGAAGGTCTAGGGGTGTACATGTGACAAGATGGGCAGACCCTAGATTCATGATGGCAGCCTGACCTTGGTCATCCTTGGGCGGGTTCGACCTCTCTGGGGTCTCCTACAAGGAAACAGAAAGCTACCAACCTTATCAGAAGGGAGAGGGCCCTACTTGTTGTGGGATAAACAGTGGTGCCTGCTTGGTCTAGATGGCTGATAGCTCTTAAGGAGAATGACCCCTGATCTACTCCTGATAACCTTCAAGTGCATAGTCATTCGCAAGCAGCTAAGTTTGGCATATATTTGGGGGAGACAACTTGGGAGAAATCCTTCTGTTTCCCACATCACAGAACAAGGAATGACTAAATTAGTGTCTTCTCTTCTTTGGGGAGCTGCTGAAAGACAGAACCTTGGTCTGTATGAAAACAGCATCATCACAGAGCGCAGTAAGCAAACTCCACAGGCTGTGCCCATGTGAGAGTTTCTTGTCGGGCGTACTGCCAAAACCCAACAAACGAGCCGCACTGAAAAAGCTAACATCTTGTAAAATTTTAAGGCCCTAAGTGCATCCAAAAATAACCAGACACACGAAGAAAAGGTAAACACTGGACCAGCCACGTGAAGAGGGAAGAGAAAGTGTCGATGTTGTTGCTGTTACGTGCCATCAAGTCAGCTCCGAGCCAAGGCCACTCTGTGCACAAGAGAAGGAAGCCCTGCTCCGTCCTCACAACTGTCCCAGGCCCGAGCCCACCCATGCAGCCACTGGGTCAGTCCATCTGCTCGAGGGTTGTTCTCCTCCTCCCCACCCCGTCCGCTTCACCAAGCATAATGTCTTTCCAGGGACTGGTCCCTCCTTACAAGTCCAAAGCTTGTAAGATGAAGTCTTGCCATTCTTGCCTCTAAGGAACACACTGGCCTTACTTCTTCCCAGACAGATTTGCGTGTCCTGTGAGCAGTCCATGGTCTTTTCAGTATTCTTTTTCCAGCACCACAATTCATAGGTACGTATTGTTTTACAGTCTTCCTTCTTCGATGTCCCACTTTCACACGTGGAAATGACACAATGGAGAATACCACAGCAGGGGTCAGGTGCATCTTAGTACGTAAAGAAACATCCTTGCTCTTCATTCCTCTAGAGCGGTCTGGTGCAGCAGATTGACTAAAGCAATAAAGTGATCTCCTCACTGCTATTTCTACGTGGATCCAAGCAAGACAAAATCCTTGAAACTTCCATGTTTTCTCCATGTATCATGTGCCCGACTGGTGCAGTTGTGAGGATTTCGTTTCCCTTTATGCTGCGTCGTGATCCACACTGAAGGCTGCAATCCTTGATCTTCATCAGCAAGTGCTTCCACTCCTCCGCATTTTCAGCAAGCACAGTTATGTTAAGTGTTGAAGTATGTCTTCTGATCTCTTGACTGCTGCTTCCATGAGCATTGATCGTGGATCCAAGCAAGACAAAATCCCTGACGATGTCATCCTTTTCTCTGTTTATCATGCTGTTACTTAGCTATTGGTCCAGTTGTAAGGATTTTGGTCTTCCTTATATTAAGTTGCAATCAATAGCCTTGAGTAGGCAGAAAAACTATCAGAGAGACACAGGCTAAAGTAACTGATAGTATGAAGGCTGAAGAGCAACAGGAAAAGGTTCAAGATTTATGATTGTAATTTTATAAAATTATGGGCCATACATCCAGGGAACTAACATACACATCATAAGCATATGTGGGGAAAATGAGCTCAATAAGGGGACAGGAAGAATATCTAGAGATATATTGGCAGAAATTGCCCAAATCTGGGGAAGGGCATGAACACATAAGACCAAGTAGCTCAGTGTAGAATAAACATATCCACATGGAATAAACCTACGGAGAGCTACTGCAAGGCACGTGACAGTCAAGTACTCTAAAACGGAAGATAGGAAGACTTATGAAAGCAGTAAGCGAAATGCATTAGTCACATACAATACAACACAGTCCACAATACAATTCAGTGTTGGTCTCTCCTCAGAACCCTTAGAGGCCATAAAAAAAATGGAATGACGTATTTTAAATGCTGAAAGAAATTGAGAAGCAAAATACTAGATCTGACAAAACGTTAAGAATGAGAACAAAATTAAGACGTTCCAGAAAGTTCAAAACACTTCACATGCTGTACAAGAAATACTAAGAAAGATCCTTCTGCTGGGAGGAGTAGCAGACAATAACGCACAGTGGATAGAAGGGGGAAAAAAATAGACTTCCCTTAAAAGTACAATTGCATAGGGAAGTATTGGGGTGAGTTTTCATGCATTTTGCTTAGTAATGATACCGGTTATATATTACAGTGACATGCACATGTGCACATGAGGGGAAAATGTGATACGTGGTAACAAAGGACAAACGCAGGGAGGAAGATGGTATAGGTGTGGTTACTGTGTACTACTGAAGTTAAGTTGGTATTCATTTATGTTGTTTATGTTAAAGGTAATGCACGTGGTAAGCAGAAAGAAAGTGTCTTAAAAATACACACAAGGGAGGAAGGGAATCAAAATGGCTCACTACAAATAAAACCCACAACACACAAATATTGGCAGTAGCAGAGGAAATTAAGGGCAAAGAAGATGTGAGACACATGAAAAGCCAAAAGATGGAAACAACTTAAAGGCCTGTGAATAGATAAATGAATAAACAACATGTGATAGAAGCATAAAATGCAGTATTCCTCAGTCATAAAGAGAAATAAAATCTGTTACGTGCCCCAACATGGAGGACCCTTGAAAACATTCTGAGCGAAACCAGTCACAAAAGAACAACTACCTTACAACACACTTATATAAAATATCTACAGCAGGAAACTAACTAGAGTTCAAAGTTTATTAGCGTTACTAATAACCTCTTTAAGAGTTTAGTAAGCAAGGGGGAACTCTACTTAAGGGGCAGTGAGGCTCTGATAAGACTGACAGACAGACTTGGAAACAGAGTGGCGACATCTGAACGTGATAAATGTAACGTGGCCCCATTGTACCTGCAAAGTGGCAAATGTACATGTATTTATGAGAAGAAAGCACAAATGTATGTAATCTGGTTTGTAGGGTTAGTGGGTAAAACGATGAAAATGAAATGTTTGTGACTGACTACTACATTCCAACTGCACACGTAATCGTAGTGTGACCTGTACGAGTTTACTTAACTTTGAGGGTGAAGGTGGAGTAGGGAGCCTGTGGGGTGAGGCAGGCATGTCTTATTTCTACACTGATAAAAGAGAAAATTAAAGTATGTTCACCTGTATACAGTGAACCCTCGCCACTTCGCGCTTCGATTTCCGCGGCTTCACTCTATCGCGGTTTTTGCGTAACAGCGCATGCTCTGTCATTACTGCCACTGATTGGCTCATACTGTACACACTTCTGTCTGCATCGCTACGTATCGGAGCTACTTATCAGATGCATTTTTGCTTTTGTACAGTGTACTGTAATTGTTTGCGATTTTAAAGAAATTTTATCTAAGCCCTATGATGGCTCCTAAACGAGCTGCTTCTTCTAAGCCTCTGACAATAAAAAATAAGCGCCAGAGGAAGATGCTTACCATCCAGGAAAAGGTAAAACTTTTGGATATGATCAAAGATGGCAAGAAAATCGTGGAG